TCTTGATTTTTCATTCTTAATATATTCCAGAAATTAGAATTGCCCATGATTGAATAGTGTAAATGAAAAATGTTTTACTGCATTGGTTCTCCTTGAACCAATGAGAACTTCATTTTCAGAAGTGCTTCCCAATCTATAACCCGAGCCACCCCCTCCTTTGCCACCTCCACCCTTTCCAAAATTACCACCCATATCCGTAGCCACTCCCAGATCTGTCCCCAGCCATAACCTGAACCCGAGCCAAGGTTTGATCAACCTTCTCCTTTACCTCGAGCCATTTCCCCCTACCTAGCAACAAAGACAAGGTCCATGAACAACAAAACCAAGAATTCAGCACCGATCACCTTGGATTGAGCCATTTCCAAATCTAACAGAAAATAGCGAACAAAGTATATAACCCCTTGACGATAATATGTTTAGAGTGAAGAGATAAGACAATCCTCATGACTTACGTCCAACATTTTGAATATTTGGACGTTGTGAACAAAAACTTTTCCAAAGTTGCAAGTGCTTCTTTTACTAGAATTTTAGATGGATTTTTGTATATTTGATGTTGTCGTCAAGTGCTTATAAGTCGTGAATCTTACTAAATGTGTGAATAATAAGTTATTCCGTGAAAAATATGTTTGACCGACTTAAATTATAATTTAAGCTTTGTCAAACACGAATGAATGTGCTAATTGACATAGGGGCGTTGGATTGGGATGTGGGGTTATCATGGATGTAGAACCAAATAAGGGTTTGTTTGGAAGATATTTTTTAAAATTATTTTGCAATCACACGTTATATGGAATTCATAATTTTCCCATAGGATTGTGCTGTATAGAGGGCCAAAACTCTGCCCATAATTTCAATCGTATAACTTATATTCTTTAGTGTTGTGTCGTATATGGTGCAAAACTTTGTCGAAATGAATTATAAGATTATCTTCAAGAAACTATTATATGGATCATCTTATATATAATAGAGCATCTTTAAATTTACACTCAACAAAATTCTATATTTTGGATTTTCATTTTGTTTACTTTTAAGAAATATTTATTAATATCTCTTTATATTTTATTTAACATATTTTTTAAGCTTTTCACACTCTTTCAACGATTGTGTCAATGGATGATTATTTGTTTGCTTTGTTAGGAGGATTTTGTGACATTTCAATTAAGATTCCAAAGTGGTCTTGGTGCACATTGTTGAGCAGGTGCTGATGATAGGCGGGTTGTTTTACTTTTTGTATTTCTTATTATTTTTTAATGAAAATTAATTAATATGCGTATATCCATTTTTGTCCTTCTAGAAACTCGCATGCGAGACACGAGTATTTTAAACGAATTTTGTAACTGAGGACCGCAGTGCTGTAGAAATGATAGATTGGGACTTGAATATAAAAAAATAAAAATAGAATGAAGATTGTTTAATAGTAAGTGAATAGGTTAGGGACTAATATTGCAATTTTTTCAAAATGTATTGGCCCAAACTTTAGGAATTGTAAATCAATTTCTCAAAAGATCCACCCTGCAAGTTAGGAATTGTACCCGGAAAATGTTAGTATGGGAAATTTTTATTGTCCGACATGACTCACAGACCAAGTACATAGCGACCAATCTCAATTTTGTAATAAATTTAGTAAGAACCCTTAGAGGCTTAGACTGCCAATTTAGAGAGAAACCTTTAGAGAGAAGTTTTTGCAGTAGCAGATCATTTTTTTCTATCCAAAATTAACTAGTTAGCTTTAAATTTGTTTCAACATGTTTTGGCAAAGAAATGGTAAATAACCTAATTAAATGTCCCATCACTTTCATTTTTATTCTTTAAAACTCATTTTTCACCATATATTTTTTTAATAAAATAATTTTATACTCGAATCCATAACTTTTTCAACTTTTTAATCACAAATTTTTCAAGGGAAGATTTCACATTCAAGAGAATAAGTTTAGCCTATTTCAAAAATAAGAAAACAAGTTTGAAATTTCCAAAATCAGATTTTTATTAAAAAAATTTAAATTTTTATTTATGAAATAAATTAATTTATTATTAAATATTTAATTCTAATTAACCCATCCCACCTTCACAACCCCTACCGCTCCGACGACCGTTCTGATCACCGTCATACTCCGATAAACTTTCCGACGACTGTTCCGACGATTACTCCGATTTCGGTGATCGTTCCGACGACTGCTTCGATTCTGACGACTCAAGATACAAGTCGCAGCCCAAGTTACAACTCAGGTCACAGCCTAAATCACAACTCAGGTCACAGTCCAATTCACAAGTCACAACCCATGTCACAAGTCACAGTTCAGGTCACAACTCAGGTCACAAGTCACGACTCAAGTCACAACTCATGATTTTGTTCATAGTCACCGATTATTTTTAAATGATCACAGCATAGGTTACAAAATTTTTTTGCACATGGCTCAGATTAATATTTAGTCACAAATAGTCGAAATTACATATTCGAAAGAATAAGTTTAGGCTATTTCAAAAATAAGAAAACAAGTTTGAAATTTTCAAAATCAGATTTTTATTAAAATTTTTTAAATTTTTATCTATGAAATAAATTAATTTATTATTAAATATTTAATTCTAATTAACCCATCTCACCTTCACAACCCTTATCGCTCCGGCGATCGTTCCGATCACCATCCTACTCCAATAAACTTTTCGACGACCATTTCGGCGATTACTCCGATTCTCGTGACCGTTCCGGCAACTGCTCCGATTCTGACGACTCAGGATACAAGTCGCAGCCTAAGTCACAACTCAGGTCACAGCCTAGGTCGCAACTCAGGTCACAGTCCAATTCACAAGTCACAATCTATGTCACAATTCACAGTTCAGGTGACAACTCAGGTCACAAGTCACGACTCAAGTCACAACTCATGATTTTGTTAATAGTCACCGATTATTTTCAAATGATCATAGTATAGGTTACAATTTTTTTGCACATGGCTCAGATTAATATTTAGTCACAATTAGTCCATTATGCGGTCCCAATTGGTCAAGAAACACAACACAGATTCAAACAACCACCGCACCGCACCGCACCACACAACCACAACCACAACCAACAGACCATCGCATGTATCGCACCACCGCCATTAAAAAAAAAAACCACCTATGCTGCCTGTAAGCCGGTACCACCTCACTGTCAAACCGCCATCATTTACAAACCACCACCAACTACCGTACGACCACACAAACACCATTAAAATCACAAATTCACATGGAGGAAATGAAATTCACACTCAAACAATGTATCCGGAGGAGGAAAGAGCCGCAATCGAACGAAATAAAAAATTGACGTTGACAAAAACCAGGGCAGCGTCAAATTCTTCGAAGGACACACACCTTACATGAGCGGGTCATCAACCCAAACCCCTACGCCACCCACAACAATCCCTACTCAATAGCCGCTGAACAGTTCACTCCCACAAAAACCCAACGTTTCAATTTCTTTCTCTCTTTCTTCCCCATCTCCCTGATCCAAAATCAGCTTCATGAATCTCACCTCCTAACTGAAAGCATCCATCCATATTCATGAATGGCGTCCTCCGACGTAGGCAGCAGCTTCGCGAAGCTGCTGGGAATTAGGGCAGCAGTAGAAGGGGAGGGAGGGGGAGGAGAAGGGAGGAGAGGGACAGTAGAGAGAGAGAGAGATACGGGAGGAAGGGGAGTGAGGGATTTACAGTGAAAAAATTAGCGATTTTATGGTGGTGTAACGTGTGTGTTGCAGGATATATATTTAGTAAAAATATTTACTTTATAAAAATTTAATTAAAATAAAATATCTGATTTTGGAATTAATAAAATTTGGATCTAATTTTGGAAGTTGGATCTTGAAACATAAGGTTTGGTGTAATTACCACAATTTTCAAATACATTATTTTTTACAAAATTTATTCTCAACTCTCCAATTTTCGTACGAGACCATGCAACATGAGATCCAACCCCATCGGAAAAGGTAGGCTGGAGGCCCAGTTCTAATACGAGTTTAGTTCAAAACACAGCCCAGTAACTCAGGCTCTGCCCCATTAGAAAACAGAGGCAGGAGGCCCAATTCCACACTTATAATAAGAGCCCTTCCAATATTCCACGCACACTCGAACACTGGTAACTCCATTTCCCCTTTCCTTAAGTCGGTTTACACAGGGGGAATTTCTTGGCCGCCATACTCATCTTCAAATTTCCACAGGATATATGCATCTGTAAGTATAACTTGATTTATGTACTGTAAGTCTTTAATTTGCATAATTTTCCATTTTGTGTTGCATTTAGGTTCAATAGTCTACTTGTTCTTATTAGCGATTCTATTATAAGAACCCTAGAGAAGAGTATCATCGTTCTTAACTTTAGTTGAGTGCCACCCAAATTGCAAACAGAATAGAGATTAAGCGACTCCCGTCTATTTATATAAAAAAACTTTATGTTTCTTTCATTAGCGACAATCAATCAGTTAAACATAATCGTATTCGTGCGTTAGTATATATTTTTGGCTGGGATTTTCAGCTTTTTGTTTTCCTTCGGTTCTTCACGCCGGACCATTTTTTCTTTTACTTTTTTAATAGAGTTTTTTTAAAAAAAATCACCGACCCTTTAGAGTTATTACTTATTAGGATATATTTTTAAACTTTTTCTGATTAATCTGAATATCAGGAAAATACTTATTTTTTGTTATCTTCTAGTGGTTTTCTGCTGCTTTTTCTTCTATCTTTTTTATTTTTGAAGTTCTATTGACATTAGTCTGTATATAAGTAACTATGCCTGGATATGAATAAAAAATTGTTTATTTGGTTATAAATCTCTATGAATAAGATAGAAGGATAAACTAATAGAAACATTTGAAGTTAGATTGATTTATAAATTGATTCTTCCAGCTTCTCTTGCATTACACTGTTAGGATTACAAGACTCATTTCAGGACTGGAGTTCTTAGCTTTAGACTGATTATTGGGATTATTTTGCTTGTTGTGATTCAGGGTTTTGGCTAACTTCTGATTGAAGATGTCTCATCCGGGTAGTGGCAATCAGAAGTCTGGTGGTGGTGCAGAGGCCCATGCCCGATTCAAACAATATGAATATCGGGCAAACTCGAGCCTTGTTTTGACTACCGACTCTCGCCCCCGCGACACCCATGAGCCCACCGGGGAGCCAGAGTCTCTTTGGGGGAAAATAGACCCTAAATCCTTCGGTGATCGGGCTTACAGGGATAAACCTCCTGAATTAGAGGAGAAACTCAAGAAGTCCAAAAAGAAAAAGGACCGTGAACCAGTTTTTGAAACTGCTGCCCCTAAGAGCAAGAGGAGACGCCTTCAAGAGGAAAGTGTTCTCACTTCTACGGAGGAAGGGGTTTATCAACCTAAGACTAAAGAGACCAGGGCTGCGTATGAGGCCATGCTCAGTGTTATTCAGCAGCAGCTGGGTGGGCAGCCTCTGAATATTGTCAGTGGGGCTGCTGATGAGATCTTAGCAGTTCTAAAAAATGAGAGCATCAAGACTTCTGACAAGAAGAAGGAAATTGAAAAGCTTTTGAACCCCATCCAAAACCATATATTTGATCAGTTAGTGTCCATTGGTAGGCTCATTACCGATTATCAAGATGGCGGTGATGGAGGCGATGCTGCTGTTAACGGTGATGATGCCCTTGATGATGATGTTGGAGTTGCTGTTGAGTTTGAGGAGAACGAAGAGGAGGAGGAAGAGAGTGATCTGGATATGGTACCAGAGGATGATGAGGAGGAAGATGACGTGATGGAAGCAGATGGTGCTGGTGGTATGCAGATGGGCGGTGGGATTGATGATGATGAGGGAAATGAAGCTAAAGAGGGAATGACCTTAAATGTTCAGGACATTGATGCTTATTGGCTTCAAAGGAAGATTTCACAGGCCTATGATCAGCAGATTGATCCGCAGCAGAGTCAGAGGCTTGCAGAAGAGGTTCTTAAAATTCTTGCTGAAGGTGATGATCGTGAAGTCGAGACCAAGCTGTTGGTGCATCTGCAATTCGATAAGTTTAGTCTCATCAAGTATTTGTTGCGAAACCGATTGAAGGTTGTTTGGTGTACCCGCTTGGCTAGGGCAGAAGATCAAGAGGAGAGGAAGAAGATTGAAGAGGAAATGATTGGGTTGGGACCAGATCATGCTGCAATTCTGGAGCAGTTGCATGCTACTAGGGCGACTGCGAAAGAGAGGCAGAAGAACTTGGAAAAAAGCATTAGGGAAGAGGCTCGACGGCTGAAAGATGAGACTGGTGAAGATGGTGTCCGAGAACGCAGGGGGTTTGCTGATAGAGATGCTGATGGTGCTTGGTTGAAAGGGCAGGGGCAAATACTTGATCTTGACAGCCTTGCATTTCACCAAGGTGGTTTGCTAATGGCAAATAGGAAGTGTGAGCTGCCAGTGGGATCTTATAGAAATCATAAGAAAGGTTACGAAGAAGTTCATGTACCTGCTTTGAAGCCAAAGCCATTGGCTGCGGGTGAAAAACTTGTAAAGATATCTGAAATGCCGGACTGGGCACAAGCAGCTTTTGAAGGGATGAGAGAGTTGAACAGGGTCCAAAGTAAAGTTTATGAAACTGCTCTCTTCAGTGCAGAAAATGTCTTATTATGTGCACCTACTGGGTCAGGAAAGACCAATGTTGCCATGCTCACCATACTTCAGCAGCTTGCATTGAATATGAATGAAGATGGGACTATTGATCATAGTAAATATAAGATTGTCTATGTGGCACCAATGAAGGCACTGGTCGCTGAAGTGGTAGGCAATCTTTCTAATCGGCTACAAAAATATGGTGTCCAGGTTAAAGAGCTGAGTGGAGACCAAACACTGACTCGTCAACAAATTGAAGAAACTCAGATTATAGTGACAACCCCTGAGAAGTGGGATATTATCACCAGAAAATCAGGTGATCGCACCTATACCCAGCTTGTGAAGCTTCTCATCATTGACGAGATTCATCTTCTGCATGATAATAGAGGTCCTGTGCTGGAAAGTATTGTTGCGAGAACTGTTCGACAAGTTGAAACCACAAAGGAGCATATTCGTCTGGTTGGATTATCAGCTACACTCCCTAATTATGAAGACGTGGCTATATTTTTACGAGTTAACTTAGATAAAGGGCTCTTCCATTTTGACAATAGCTACAGACCTGTCCCTCTGGCTCAGCAGTATATAGGGATCACAGTTAAGAAGCCACTACAGAGGTTTCAACTGATGAATGATGTGTGCTATGAAAAGGTGATCAGTGTTGCTGGAAAGCATCAGGTGCTCATATTTGTGCACTCGAGAAAGGAGACAGCCAAAACAGCTCGTGCAATTAGAGATGCTGCCCTTGCTAATGACACTCTTGCAAAATTCTTGAAAGAGGATAGTGCCAGCCGTGAGCTTCTTCAGAATCAAACGGAACTAGTGAAGAACAGCGATCTTAAGGACCTATTGCCATATGGATTTGCAATACATCATGCTGGGATGGTTAGAACTGATCGTGAAATTGTTGAGGACTTGTTTACTGATAACCACATACAAGTGTTGGTTTCTACTGCAACTCTAGCTTGGGGTGTCAATTTGCCAGCTCACGTTGTAATTATTAAAGGCACTCAAATTTACAATCCTGAGAAAGGAGCATGGACTGAATTGAGCCCTCTAGATGTTATGCAGATGCTTGGTCGTGCTGGAAGGCCTCAATATGACACCTATGGGGAAGGAATTATTATAACTGGACATAGTGAACTACAGTATTATCTTTCTTTGATGAATCAGCAGCTTCCCATCGAAAGTCAGTTTGTGTCTAAATTGGCTGATCAGTTGAATGCAGAAATCGTTCTGGGAACTGTGCAGAATGCTAGGGAAGCATGCAAATGGCTTGTATATACTTATCTTTGTGTTCGCATGCTACGCAATCCTACTCTCTATGGTTTGGCACCTGATGTTGTGGCCAGAGATCCAACCTTGGAGGAAAGGAGAGCTGATCTCGTAAGCATCATGCACATTCTATTTGCTTCTATGTTTTTCCTGTTCTTTGTTGCCTTGTTGAAGTTCTTTTTACACCAAAACAGAATACAGAAGCTATGACTCGAATTCTTTTAACTTGACTTCTACGTATTTCCCTTTTTGGTACCTGATGCTTTTTGCATGAACAGCTCCTCCCCCCAGCACCATGATATGATCTCCGTTCCCCCTTAGAAAACAGAAGCTCAATGGTTGCCTTAGTTATTGATCTGTTTCAATGATCTCGATTTGAAGTGCGTTCGTGAACTTATGTGCTAAATTAATTTAGCCCCTGTTTGGCCCCCATCAAAATTTTAATATATTTTTCTCTCTTCTTTTCAACCGCACATTCTCCAATAAAATAATATTACACGTAAATAAAAAACTTTTCCTTCTTTTTTAACCCCACATTCTCCCAAAAATTACTATTCCCAAATACATTATTCCAAAAATCTCTTTATAATGGGGACCAAACAAGGGCTTCAGAATTTTAATTCTAGTTGCATAAAATATTATCAATTTTCTTTATTTAATGAATACTTTGTTAATTTTTTTTGCAGATTCATTCAGCTGCGATTTTACTGGACAAGAATAATCTGGTAAAGTATGACAGGAAAAGTGGATATTTCCAAGTTACTGATTTGGGACGCATTGCCAGCTACTACTATATAACCCACGGAACAATATCTACGTACAATGAGCATTTGAAGCCAACCATGGGTGATATTGAACTCTGTCGTCTCTTCTCCCTCAGTGAAGAGTTCAAATATGTAACTGTGAGACAGGATGAGAAGATGGAGCTAGCAAAGCTTTTAGACCGCGTTCCCATACCGATCAAAGAGAGTCTCGAGGAGCCTAGTGCCAAGATTAATGTTTTACTCCAAGCTTATATTTCACAGTTGAAGCTTGAAGGACTGTCTTTGACATCTGACATGGTATTCATTACTCAGGTTCGTCTATAGCAATTGCAATCATCTACTTGAGTTCCCTACTTCATTTGTTGAATTTTAGATACTTTCTCATAGTCGAAGGCATGGCAATGTATGTTCTCACTGTTGACATTTGTGTTCTTTTTGCAGAGTGCTGGACGTCTGATGAGAGCACTATTTGAGATCGTTCTAAAACGAGGATGGGCCCAGTTGGCTGAGAAGGCTTTAAAATTGTGCAAAATGATAGGCAAGAGGATGTGGAGTGTGCAGACACCTCTACGTCAATTCCGTGGAATTCCAAACGAAATTTTGATGAAGTTGGAGAAGAAAGATCTAGCTTGGGAAAGGTATTATGATCTCTCTTCACAGGAGATTGGGGAATTGATTCGTTTTCCTAAGATGGGAAGAACACTTCACAAGTTTATTCATCAGTTTCCGAAGCTTAACCTGGCAGCACATGTTCAACCAATTACTCGCTCGGTTTTGAGAGTTGAACTAACCATTACACCGGATTTCCAGTGGGATGACAAGGTCCATGGTTATGTGGAGCCCTTTTGGGTTATTGTGGAGGACAATGATGGGGAATTTATTCTTCATCATGAATATTTCATGTTGAAGAAACAGTACATTGATGAAGATCACACTTTGATTTTCACTGTTCCCATATATGAGCCACTGCCTCCTCAGTACTTCATTCATGTTGTGTCAGATAGATGGCTGGGGTCACAGACAGTTTTGCCTGTTTCTTTTAGGCATCTTATTTTACCGGAAAAGTATCCTCCTCCCACAGAGCTATTGGATTTGCAACCCCTTCCTGTGACCGCGTTAAGAAACCCAGCATTTGAAGCCCTTTACCAACAGTTTAAACATTTTAATCCTGTACAGACCCAGGTTTTTACCATCTTGTACAACTCAGATGACAATGTCTTGGTTGCAGCACCAACTGGCAGTGGGAAGACCATATGTGCAGAATTTGCCATTCTAAGGAATTATCAGAAAGGACCTGAAAGTGTCATGCGTGCTGTCTATATTGCTCCTATTGAAGCTCTTGCAAAGGAACGGTACCAAGATTGGAAGAGAAAGTTTGGAGAGGGTCTTGGGATTAGAGTGGTCGAGTTAACCGGAGAAACAGCAACAGATATGAAACTTCTTGAGAAGGGTCAAATTATTGTCAGCACTCCTGAAAAATGGGATGCTTTATCTCGTCGATGGAAACAGCGAAAGCATGTTCAGCAGGTCAGTCTCTTCATTGTTGACGAGCTCCATCTGATTGAGGGGCAAGGTGGTCCTGTCTTGGAGGTCATAGTCTCTAGGATGAGATACATTGCTAGTCAGCAAGAAAACAAAATTCGTATTGTCGCTTTGTCAACTTCTCTTGCAAATGCCAAGGATTTGGGGGAATGGATTGGTGCCACGTCACATGGTCTTTTTAATTTTCATCCTACCGTGAGGCCCGTGCCTCTTGAAATTCACATCCTGGGTGTTGATATTGCTAATTTTGAAGCAAGGATGCAAGCCATGACAAAGCCTACGTATACTGCAATTGTTCAACATGCCAAGAACGGGAAACCTGCAATAGTATTTGTTCCTACCAGGAAGCATGCACGCCTCACTGCTGTGGATCTCATGTCTTACTCGAGTGTGGATAGTGAAGAAAAACCAATGTTCTTATTACAGTCTGAAGAGCTGGAGCCTTTTGTTGCCAGGATCAAGGAACCTATGTTGAAGGAGACAATACAATTTGGTGTAGGTTATTTGCACGAGGGATTGACCAGTACAGATCAAGATATAGTGAAGACACTGTTTGAAACTGGATGGATTCAAGTATGTGTTATGAGCAGTTCAATGTGTTGGGGAGTGCCTCTGTCTGCACATCTGGTTGTGGTTATGGGAACACAATACTATGATGGCAGGGAAAATGCTCACACTGATTACTCAGTCACTGATTTATTGCAAATGATGGGTCATGCCAGTCGACCTCTTGTTGATAACTGTGGAAAGTGTGTCATCCTTTGCCATGCACCACGTAAGGATTACTATAGAAAGTTCTTGGATGAAGCATTTCCAGTTGAAAGCCATTTGCATCATTATCTGCATGATAATCTAAATGCGGAGGTGGTTGTGGGAGTTATTCAGAACAAGCAAGATGCTGTGGACTACCTTACTTGGACATTTTTATATCGAAGGCTCACTCAGAATCCAAACTACTATAATCTTCAGGGTGTTAGTCACAGACATCTCTCTGATCATCTCTCAGAACTCGTGGAGAACACACTGAGTGATCTGGAAGCAAGTAAATGTGTTGCCATTGAAGATGACTATTTGCTTTCACCTTTGAATCTTGGCATGATAGCATCTTATTATTATATCAGCTACACAACAATTGAACGTTTCAGTTCATCTCTGACATCTAAAACAAAGTTGAAGGGTCTGCTGGAAATTTTGGCTTCAGCTTCAGAGTATGAACTTCTCCCTATTCGACCTGGTGAAGAAGAGCTGATAAGAAGGTTAATCAATCACCAGCGATTCTCCTTTGAGAACCCGAAGTTCAGTGATCCACATGTGAAGGCAAATGCTCTTTTACAAGGTCATTTCTCCAGGCAACTAATTGGTGGAAATCTGGCTTCTGACCAGCAAGAGGTACTCATTTCTTCTAGCAGGTTGCTTCAAGCCATGGTTGATGTTATTTCTAGTAGTGGATGGCTTAGCCTCGCCCTTCTTGCCATGGAAGTAAGCCAGATGGTAACCCAGGGAATGTGGGAGCGTGATTCTATGCTTCTTCAGCTTCCACATTTCACAAAAGAGTTAGCCAAGAAGTGTCAGGAGAATCCAGGTAAGAGAATCGAGACTGTCTTTGATCTGGTGGAAATGGAGGATGATGAAAGGCGGGAGCTATTACAAATGCCAGACACACAGTTGATAGATATTGCTAGGTTTTGTAACCGTTTTCCAAACATTGACCTGAATTATGACGTGCTGGATAGTGATAATGTGAGAGTTGGAGAAGAAGTTAGTGTGCATGTAACCCTTGAACGAGATCTTGAAGGGAGGACGGAGGTCGGGCCTGTTGATTCTCCTAGATACCCCAAAGCCAAAGAAGAAGGGTGGTGGCTTGTGGTTGGTGATACTAAAACTAATCAGTTGCTTGCCATCAAAAGGGTTACACTCCAGAGGAGGTCCAGAGTCAAACTTGATTTTACTGCTCCTGCAGAAGCTGGAAAGAAGACGTACACACTATATTTTATGTGTGATTCTTATTTGGGGTGTGACCAGGAGTACAGCTTCACAGTTGATGTTAAAGAAGCGGCGGATTCCGAAGATGACGGTGGAAGAGAATGATTGAGCTTATTGCATTCAAACTTGTCGCAGTGGTTGAGTATTAATGTAAGTTTTGGTGTTACTCATTCTAACTAATGTTTGTTTACCGATTTTTGATATTTTTATAATGTTTATGATCTATAATTTTAAAATTGATGATTTATCCCGTCCTTAATGTTTTACTCATAGTCTATTCTCAAGCACTACCATAGATTGGTTGGATTAATCCAGTGAAACTTAGTCTCCCCCTTGTGCAAAATGAAACATGTGGAAATGTCTTTGTATAATAAGAATAGAAAAGGGCATACGAATTGCTGGAGGTCTAAGGCCTTTCCTGCAGCCTTCTAACTTGTAGTGACCGTGACCTTACACAATGGAGCAACCTTACCATTGTGCCAAGGCCTACCTTCAATGATAAGAAGAATGCCAAAAAGGAGTCTCAATTAAGAGTTCAATTTTCGGTTTGTATTCAGGAGCGGTTATTCTGTGTTTGGTAGCCTAATAGGAAAAATGAAAGTCAAATTGAAGTGTTATGAGCTCTGGTTTATATAATCCCTTATTTAAAGTATATGATTGGGTTCTGAGCGCTGCTCCCATGTCAAACTTATTTATGAATAAACTATGTACGCTGTAGATATCCGTGTACTAAATGTTACTGGTCCAACAGTGGTTTACTGCTTTATATGTTGGCCAGATATCTGAATGAACTGTGCAAGATCTTTGACATCCTTCATCAATATCACCGTTTTCGTCTTCTTTGTTGTCGCCTTTATGGTGCATTTCACAATGTTTTTTTATCTTTGGAGATGTTATTTTGTATATGCTAGTAGTTGAAGGCTTAGATTTTGATTAAGTATGCTATTCGTCTGAATGTAAACCGGCTCAATGTTTATAGTGCTTCTAATGTGCTTACAGGTTGGGAGCTCAAGGTTGTGAGCACGGTTGAGTTCCGGTCCTCCTATTGCTTACTGTGCGCCTGCTTACAAGGTTTGGCGTCTTGCTCATCTGTTTGGACTGATGTAGGACTCTATTGTTTGTCTTGAGAGCTGTTCTATGTTTCTCTTGTAATAACTCTCATATGTAGTTAACTATTTACCTACTATGCTGAATGATTAATGTCTATTTCTTGTAATAACTATCCGAGCACTCAATACATCAGCGACTCCTCATCTGTGCACCCATGATTTTCATCATTTGAAAACAAGTCCCACTCCCTGAAGAAGTTGTGTTCGTCTTGATCTTCATCTCGATCTTGTTAATTTTGCCATTAGCCTATCTGAAACATGGGTATGTCTTCAAATGCAGAGCCATAAAAAATGTAGAGCGTCCATTATAAAGCTTTGGGCCTTTGGCTTTAATGGGGAAATAACATAATTGTAGTGGTTTGGTAAAATTTCCCATGTCAAATGCAATCTGTTAAAAAGGAACTTGTGCTGTAGTCCCCAACCTATTAGGAAACTGAGATTTCGTAGCGATTGTGAAATGAATCGGTACAACTTTTGAACCAGTCGAAAAAATATTTATTTTATTTTTGTCATTTTGTACAATGTTATACTCTAAAGAAACATCTGAGTATATCAAGAATGCTTTTTTAATATACATGTTTTTATTTTCCTTTATGCGACCAAGAGTCGAGTAACAATTTTGTTACTCAAAGCTGGTGGATAACCTTCTTTTTTTTTTTTTCAAATCCAATAGACTACGTCTCTTTGCTCAGAAAGAGTAGTTTTTAAGCCTCTTTTTTCCTATATATTTATTTTCAATCACAAATTCACACAATAAAATATTATGTATGTAAATCCAAAAATTTTCCATACTTTTTATCCCTATGTTCTCTTAAAAATCACTATTTAATTATTTTTTTTTCAAATAACACATCTCGTGCTTGACCTTAGTAATTATTAGCAAGAAATTTTAAGGGGAAAAAAAAAATGACATTTTAACTATTGGTAATAGAACAAAAATTTGTCTTTCGATTAACCAAACAAAATATTTTTCATCACGTTTTTATTTCAACCTTCTATTGATTAACATATCTATTATCCCTGATGATAAGGTACATCCAAAATTTCGGTTAACGTGATCTGAAATAGGGGTAAGTATACTTGCACTTCGATCAATCATGTTGGATAAAATAACAGTAAAGTACAGAAAAATTTATCAATAAATCGAGTCTCGTGACAGCACGATGTCCTAAAGCGAAATTGCCCGTCGATAACTGCTGCGACCTTTGTGGACAATCACCTCCAGGATACAACGATCAAATAAACCAATTGTGCAACAATCACAAAAGGTTTTCAGAACTCTCAAGTGTACTCTAGAAATTTGTNTGAACAACAAAAGATCCTACGGGTTAAGTAGAAAAGGAAAATTGTTGTGAAATTTTCCAACATTTTCATCACGTTTTTATTTCAACCTTCTATTGATTAACATATCTATTATCCCTGATGATAAGTTACATCCAAAATTTCTGTTAACGTGATCTGAAATAGGGGCAATTATACTTGCACTTCGATCAATCATTTATCCAACCTTTGTGCTATTTCCATCATTTTGCTTATCTGAGTATGACGGGAATGGGTAGCAACTTTGACACATTGGTCCATTACACCAAAGTTCATAACTAGTTGCACGTGTGATGCCCATCCCCCACCGCCGCCGCACTTTCCCCGACCACCAACCCCCCTGTTCGTGTTTGCATCTGGGACCATATTACCCTTTTTAGTTTTAAACTCCAAACAAAATAAGGAAACACTGCACAACCTATTTCCTCAATAACAAATTGGTCATCCACCTTAGAACATGTTTGGCAAAGTTTAAATCTTTTTTAAGTTGATGAAATATATTTTTTATCTATACATTTTGTAGGATTCGTAGCATATAAATACTTAAAAGAATAACCACACAAGCACTAAAATAATTTAATTCAATCTTTCAATACACTAAGGATTTCGAACTTTTACTTTTTGTAAAAGAGTTTATTGAGAAGTTATATCAGCTTTATCTAAAGGCTCTCTTTAATTAAGTAAAATACTTTCAAAAAATTATTAACACACATTCAAAAGTATTTTTTTAATCTTAAAGGTAACTTTTGACTCTTAAAAACCTTGTCAAATGGACATTTACATTTCGGTCTCCAATGATTGGAATCACCAAATGTTCAATAAAATGTCAAATGTCGTTCTAAACTACGTGTTACGCCGAATTGGCCGAAGCCCAATTGACCAAAGCCGAAGCCGTCCTCCGAAGCCCCTATGCAGGAGCGATACACAAGGCCTACTAAAGAGAAATCCAAAGCTCAAATAATGATCAATGTTTGAAGATCTAATTTATATGTCACATTATAAATAGATCCCCTTAGTGCCATTAGAGGGGGATGCGAATTATTATTTACTACTCATGTACTCCATCTTTATAAATATATGGTCTTTCAAAAGTTCATGGGGTGATTTTAATCTTAAACTTAATTTCTATCGATCGTTCATTATTGTATGCTTGTGTTTATATATTTATTGAAGTTTGAACATATTTGTCTCGTTTCGAAAATCTTCTTCCAAGTTCAAACTCGTAACATGTTTGACTAGTAACAAAAATTAGCTTGTAAGGACGCGAGTGGGTCCGGTATATGTTGGCGAATTTTTTGTGGTCAACAGTACGAGTAAAACATGATTTCATAAAATTACGCATAGATTTTGGACGTGTTCGGTAGAGATTAAAATCAGATTAAATGAAAAATTAGTCGTTATTGTTGATTTTTATTAGATGAGTGAGACTCACGACTATATTTTCAATTTTAATTGAATTTTAAGTACGACCGAACACGCCATTTGCACAATTCCAACATATGGATTTATTTTGCAACTATAATGAACGGTTTAGAGTTCATTTGCTATATTTTAAAGATTTAGGTCTAACTTCCTACTAAAAAAATTGGTTGGTCAGCGGGAAACTTTCCAAACACAATAATACCCCCAAACTAAAAACTAAAAGAAAAGAAAACCCTCTCTTTTCTCTCCCTCTCTGATTGCAGTAAAGAAAGTGTTTGAAGGTGAAATTCAGCGGGTTATTGATCCATGGCGTTGTCGAGGCTTAGACATCCGGTGATCTCTCGAGCCCCTTCGCTGCTCAGGGCTCGTTTTGTATATTTTTCTTCCACTCATCCATCATTCTATCGGTACTTTTTGTTTTTTTCTCTCTGTTTTTGTAAATCTTTTGTATTTTTTTCTGCATCTGGATCAATACAATTCGTTGATTGAGAGAGAAATATTCATTTCGATTTACGGGAAAAAAAATTGAAAAGAGATCGAATGGTTGGTGAAAATGGTCAAAGGCAAGCCGCATAAATGAGTACTGAAAAATGTTCAATTATAATTTTCAACTCAGGAAAAAAACGATTCTTATTGGATATACACTAATAAAAGTCGTATATGGAATTAAAATAATTAAATTCGTTCTTTAAGTTGTAATTTGTATTTAAGGGATGACTTATATTTGGAACTAAATACTAGATTAAATTAGTTCTTTTAAGTTTTTTTGAAGGATGTGTACACATTGCTTATATTCATGTACATCACATGCAGAAAAGATTACACTGATTAAATTTTGATTGAGAGAAGAGTCACTCAGGACCTGCAGTATCTGCTTGATTTCCATTCTCATTTTCCGAGATTTATTACAGTTAATAAATTCTCTAACCTATCAGAACTAAGTTGCCCTTGCTTCTTTCAAACACCAGTGTTTGTTACTCAAAAGGCTGCTGTTTTTTTCCACTTAACATATTGTCCTGGGAATTTCTTCAATACAGTAGCTTTTAAAGAATGTGAACATATATATTGCACTTATTGCAGGTTAAATTAACACTACGTTACCGATTATGAGAAACTTATGTGATCAGTAAGCCACTTTTTTTTTTTTTGAAGGTTGTCTACATTACATCAGTAAATTGATAAATACTTAAGAAATTGTAACCCAGGGGGTGTCTTTGATATTATCTCTTTAGAAAATCTGGATGGGAAAAGGGAATCTTCAAAAATCATAAGGTTATTATCCTACTGACTGGAAAAAGTTACACCAGACATGCAAATTGCTTCTGTTGTACTAGGAAGCTCTGAACTGTATGGAAAGTAGATGTTCCACTTCACCATCTCGTAATACATCTAGAGTTTTTCTTTGCTGAATTCTGGATTTGGAGATACCAACCTGTATCATCAAGTCATGGAATCCTTTTCTTGTAATGGATTGGTAAAGGCAAATGATTGGGGTACTAAGCAGTTGATTTGGTAGAGAGAATTTAGCATATAATTTACTATACAAGTTTAAGTCAATTGATTGTTCAGTTCTCATTTCAATTATAAGTCTGGAATGACAAAAATTTTGATCTTAAGATAGATAGAGAGAGCAGATTACCTTATGCAATAAATACGATCCACTCATGAAGTCGAACAGTCCATTACCTATGTCTTCTGCCTTAAAATTAGGCATTTTCAGGCATGGGGCAAAACATTCCTTGCTAGTCACATACAGTTCTTCTAATATACTGATAAGCCCCCTATACGTTTTACATATTCTAGAAGGGTCAAGAAGGGAGGGATAACAGAAGTTGTTGGGGAGCATGTGCTGGGGGAAAATCAGTTAGAGAAATAACTATAAATATAGGGGCAAGTGTGGGAAGAAGGCAGGCAATTATTGAGTAAGGAAAGGGAGATTAGCTGTTATTCCGTATCTGTAATTCTCTACATTTTCAATCAAAGTCCTTTTATCAATTCAGCTCTTCTATTTTCAGTTTGAGTCCTATCAAATTGGTATCAGAGCACGAACGATCCGATGACAAAAAAAAACGAAGGAAGGATGGAACTACTGGAAAAAGAAGTGGAGGAAGTCAAAACAGAGTTGCAACGCTTACCAGCCATGGAGAGGGCAGTAGATCAGTTGGCCCAAAACATGACCAAAATGTTGCAGTCGATGGATGAAACCAGGAAAGCTGTAGCTGCACTCTATAACGTTAAGATGGGGCCGAATAAGAACAGCGAAGGAGATGGAACAGGGAGCCTCACCGAAGGGCAGATTCCGACTAACAACCAACATGGAATCACCAGCAATCCGCAAACGCCCGACCGTGGTAAATGGCCAGAAGGGACAGGGGAAGCTAGCTACGGGAGGATGACCATGAGTAACGACCAGCACAGAGAATTGGATAGCTGGCGGCGAGTGCGAAAATTGGAAATGCCTATTTTCAGTGGGGAAAATCCAGATGGGTGGCTCTTTCGGGCGGAAAGGTATTTTGAGGTCAATGGGTTGACGGAGAAGGAGAAGATGGGGGCTATTGGAGTAAGTTTGGATGGTGACGCATTGTCGTGGCTTCAGTGGACGGAAGCCAGGAAACCTTTCCTGGATTGGCAGCAGTTCCGGCAGCAACTTCTGCTGCGTTTCCGATCAAC